GAACCTGTTTCTCCGTAGGGCGCCCCCAGGTGTCTCCACAATGGGTGTGTCAACAACTGTGCCACATTTCACTGTGAGCTCAACAAGGGGACCAAGGGTTTGTGATCTGTTTCTCTATGGATGTTTTTCCATATGAGAAACTCTGCAAACTTCTCGCAGGCCCATGTGGAGGTCACCATAGGCACACACCATTTGGTCAGCTGTTCCACTTTTGAGATGACTCCTTGTTGCTCAATTCTTCTTTAAACTTTGGAAGAAGAGGATATTGTTGTGGATAGTAGTTTATGTGTAGATATGGCCGTGTGGTTGGTGATGCACAAAGAACCTGTTGATGTGATTGTTTTTCCTCTTGTTTCACATTAAGCTTGTTTGATTTAATAGACTATTGAGGGGATCTTAACTTGATGTAGTAGTATTTATAATGATGGTTAATGCTTTATAGCTAAGCTATAGCATTCCTTAATCCATGGAGATATTAATCATAGATTAACGTTATCACCTTCTAACATGAACCTGAAGTTAACTGTTAGCTTCTTATTTGCCAGCTTCTTGTTGGAATTCTCCCTTTCCCCCTTAAATAGTGCGGCTTCAGGCACCAGAGAGTGACTGAATGGGAACACTTGAACGAAAAGCTGGCAAACAGGAAGCCAACTTTAGCTTCGCCCTGCTTACTGTGTTTTAGGGGGTTTATTTTAGTTGTAGTTAGTAAATCGGTTGAATATTAAGGAACTGGTGGCCGATTTAATCCTGAGAGCTCATCATCTCTCAATACAAGTGAAAGTGTTCACACGCGGATTTTGACCGCTCCAACATGGCGGACGTGCAGACACTTCCTCTCAGAACATCAGACAATGCGACATCTAGGTACGGATATCTATGCTTGAAACAGGCTCACATTTAGCACCGTAACGTTAGCTCAGCAACTGTGCTGCTCTTAGGACCTCTTTTCAGAAGTTTGGCTGGGGGGGTGGGCAATTTTCTTACCGTTCAGGTTAAGAAAAAGGAGGGAGAAAAAAAACGGGTGCATATTCATATCCCACTTCTTACACCATGTTCTGTCGTTTGGTACAATAATAAACCACTTTACTGAGTGAGAGATACAACAGACGACTCATCACACACGTTTTACTCTCGAACTGCCTCTCCTTTATTATTTTTGTCCCCCCTGGTGCACCGTGAACATTACAAAGGTTCCTACTGTTGTTTATTAAGTAGCAAAGATGTGAAGATGATGAAGGAAAACTCCGCTGACACTGCCTTGCCAGTAAGATGTTTATTACAAAGTAAAACAGTATCATATCAAGCACTATAAAGTACCTGAGAGAGGATCCGTGCCAATGCTAAGTGTCCTCTCTCGAACAGAATATTCCAGCTGCTTATATATTGGACTTGTTGTTGAAACAGGAGACAGAACATATGGTCCTTTTTAAAAGGATCTCATCTATTTGGAACTAAGAGAAGAATGGAGAAAGTGAGAGGCCTACTTCCTATGGGGCTTTGGACCAGGGGGCCCCTTAATTTAAACATTCCTTACCCCTGCAAAAACAGAGCACACAGAGAACTCCAGACCCCAACTCATGCTGGAAGAGTGTTTTTACCATTTTCTATAAAAATGTTCCTTTTAAATATACTTCACTACCTATGAAAATGACTTGATACTACAAGAGTCTCCGATCTCTCAGACGTGTCAGCAGCCATTATTGTACTGTCTCGTCCTTAGTTACCGTCACAGATATACATACCTAGATGCCGCGTTGCCTGTTGTTCGCTATGTGAGGCGATACGTCTGCGCGTCCGCCATGTTGGTGCGGTCAAGATCCACTTGTATTGAGAGACGATTAGACTCAGGATTAAATCGGCCACAACTTCCTTATTACTCAACCGATTTTCACCAAATTTGTTTGTTATAATTCTCAGACACAGCTTAATCTAAGTTGCACGGTCTGCTCTCGGTAGCTTTTATTTCTTTATTAACTGATTGTGCTAATCCGTCCAGACCAGCGGGAAAGTATTCAGTCTGCACCTGATGTGAGTTTAGCCCGAGCTCCGGTAAAAACACAATCAGCAATCCATCCATTGCCGTTGACATGCCTGGCTGGACCCAACGCGACATCTAGGTATGTATATCTATGGTTACCGCTGATGGAGCAAGACATGTACAATCGATCTATAGAATCTGATATCGATCAACCAATAGAAATATTAAGATGCTGTGACATCATTGTTTGACAGCCCCTTTATTAGCATAAGGACAAGGAAATACATAAATAAATAAATATAGAAATAAATAAATAAATATAGAAACGTTAAATAAGAAACATGTAAATAACAAAATAAATAAATATAAAAATGAATGAAGAGGGGAAATTACTAAATAGACATATAAGTAAATGCAGACATATTATTTATGTAAGGTTTTATTTATTAATATATTAATTTCTAAGTATATTTATTTTTAGATTTATCATCATTATTCTTTGTAATTCTAAGCCATATATTCATTTACTAAGTCATTTATTTTTAATTTTATTTACTTTTCACTTTGGCAGATCGGGTCCTTCATAGTCGCTCGTTCACACTCTGAAACTCTCACTATGAAGAGAAGTTTCTTCAGTTTCTTACACTAGTTGTCTTGTCAGCTATCTAGCTAATGTTAGTGTGAGCCTGAACTCTGTTCTTTGCCTCACATGAACCCAAAGTCAGCCAAGAAGTAAAACCCTTCTATCCAGCTATTCTGACCATAATTTACCTCAAATCCATATTGTAGGTGGTAATATTGACTCTGTCACTACTGACTGTTCCACTCTGTGTATTAGAGACTCTGAACAAAGTCTAATGTTAATCCTGTCGCAGCTGCAGCGGTTGTCAACAGCGAGTAAAAGCAGAGACCCTCCCCCAGGTCTGATATGATTGGCTTTCAACTTACGAGGTCTGATTTGATTGGCCGAGCTGGAGTTCTTCTTTCCGTTAAATCTCTGGAAGCCCCGCAGAGGCAGCGCTGCCTTAGAGCCATGAACTGTTCGCTTATATACAGTCTATGTTTAGAGCAGCAGCGCCTCCTGCAGGTCGCGCCCTGCTATTACCCTATATTGTGAATTTGGAGGCGCGATGGCGGCTGAATAATGAAGAATGAATAAGATCGTTTGAACTAGTAATATGTTTTTATTTTAAAAAGAGAGAAAATAACATGGGGGCGGGGCTAAAGCCCCCCATTAAACTGGCCTAGCGACTCTTTGTTTGTACAGGTTCACAACAAATGGGTTTATTTGTCTGAAGTGCTGAATGAACCCAGGCTAGTTTGAGTCATTTGTACGACAGTTCTTCATGATGCTTTGTGTGAGCAGCATCTCCAGCAGAACATCATCATGAACTCTACTGACTTTGTGTTTCTCTGAAGAGAAGATTTCTCGGCCGACAGCTCCTCCTTACAGGCTCCCTGTAATATATATGCGTTGCTGATGTCGTGTGACTCAGACAGAGCTGCTCATCCTGCACACTCAGCTAATTTGCACTGTCTGAACAAGAGGCTGTAGGATGTTCATCCTGGAATATTATTTCACACATCTGAGATGTGTATATATATATATATATATATATATATATATATATATATATATTAGTATAGTATAGTGAAGTTCGTATTTGTACCTTTCATTCCACTTATTTTATTTACACTTTGGTACTTAATGTACTGTTTATGAATTGTATTATTTTATTTGAGCGTTTTGGCCAAAATTAGCTCCATATTCGGGCCTGTAAGCTGCAGGCCATGTTTTGCAGAGTGCTGCGTGACCGCGGACATTTTCTGTGACACGGTGGTTTATATATATGGTGACGTCACAACAGCCGTCTGTGACGTCACCAGTGACGCCCTATATAGGCTGCAGAAGCTCAAAATTCCACTATTACAGCAGCGAACTTGAGTAACTGTTGTGTTGAGTGTGAGTGTAAAAGGTTCCTCTCAGTCAAATTCTCGTGGCTGAAGTAACTTTGTTACGTCTTTAGAGCAGCACCTGCTGTAGAGAGCGACTTCATTTAGGAACTTACTGCGTCTGTCTTTGCGGTGTTTTCAGTGTCCTAACTGGGAAATAATGGAGAGCGTAAGGTTTGATGAAACACACAGAGAACTGGAGGAGGCCCGGGGGAAACTGAGACACCTTAAAGAACGAGAAAAGCAGCTTTTGGGACAAATGAAAGGACAAAGAGAAAAAGCGGAAAAGATGGAAAATGCACTGCAGATCCGCTGGGAGAAACACCTGCTTTCAGAGAACATGGAAATGAAAAAAGAGATGAAAAAAGAAGAACAAGGAGCTGGAAATGCTGAGAATGATCACAGTGGAGAAGAGAGAGGAAGAACAGAGGAGAAAGGAAGAGGAGAAAAGAGAAGAAGAGCAGAGGAGAGAGGAAGAAACAGAGAACTTTAGGTCTGATGAAATACACCGAGAACTGGAGGAGGCCCGAGAGAAAGTGAGACACCTGAAAGAACGAGAAAAGCAGCTTTTGGGACAAATCACAGCACAGACGGAAAAAGTTCAAAAGATGGAAAACGCATTGCGGATCCAGTGGGAGAAACGCCTGATTTCACAGATTGTGAAAATGGAAAAAGAGATTAAAAAGAAGAACAAGGAGCTGGAAACACTGAGAAAGAGCACAGTGGAGAAGAGAGAGGAAGAAGAGAAAAGAGAGGAAGAACGGAGGAGAGAGGAAGAAGAGAAAAGAGAGGAAGCAGAGAAAAGAGAGGAAGAACAGAGGAGAGAGGAAGAAGAGAAAAGAGAGGAAGAGCAGAGAAGAGAGGAAGAAGAGAAAAGAGAGGAGGAAGAGAAAAGAGAGGAAGAACAGAGGAGAGAGGAAGAAGAGAAAAGAGAGGAAGAACAGAGGAGAGAGGAAGAACAGAGAAGAGAGAGAGGAAGAAGAGAAAAGAGAGGAAGAGCAGAGAAGAGAGGAAGAAGAGAAAAGAGAGGAAGAACAGAGGAGAGAGGAAGAAGAGAAAAGAGAGGAAGAACAAAGGAGAGAGGAAGAAGAGAAAAGAGAGGAAGAGCAGAGGAGAGAGGAAGAAGAGAAAAGAGAGGAAGAACAGATGAGAGAAAAAGAAGCAAGGAGTTTTGAGGGGACACAGAAGGAAGAGACAGATGTAAAGAGCCCAAAAACAGAGAAACGTGGTCTGATGGGAAAGATGAGGAACGCTCTTCAGGCACTGAGAAAAGCGCGAGAGGTGGACAGGAGAATGGAAAGGTGGGATGAAGACATAGAGATGAGACGATACATGGCAGGACTGGAAGGTACAGATCAGATGCCGGGAGAAACGTCACACGAGCAGGACGGAGAGAGACGGGAAGGCCCGGTTATACTGGTCATCACTTCACCGTCCACGTCGGAGCTGAATAAAGCGTGCCAGTGCCAGAGCGACAGCAAGCTGACCAGGAAGGAAAAGAAAGAACGGAGAAAACTGCAGAAAAGGCAGAGTGAAGAACTCAGAAAGCAGAAGAAGAAGGAGGAGGAGAAAAAGAAAAAGGAGGAGAAGAAGAAAACAACAAAAGAAAAGACCACAGAAAGGAAGAGCTTCTGGAGAAAATTTCTGTGCTGCTAAAAAACTCAAGTGAAAGAACCAGAATGTGTTTAATGGAAACATATCAGCATCAAAGGGAATGTCATCCTAAATTTGAATTTAAATTTTCCACATGCAATTTTGGGCTCAAAATGAAAATTCAATAATTCAATTAATATGTACTTTAACTTCTATGCATTTGCACTCTCTAATAACATTTTTGGAACTGCATTATTAAAGAAAACACCAAGATAGAAAGATGTTAAAATTGAAATGTAAAAGGGAAACAGCTCCTCTCTGCTCTGCAGTCACAGATTCTCACCTACTGCGCTCATTCTGTGGCAAAACGCCTTTGAAAGTGCATCAGCTACGGTGCACATTTTAGGACATCCTCAGACCTCAGCGTCAGCACTCAGGCCTCGGACAGAACAGCATCGCTCCTCGGACTAAACGACTTAGAGTCTCTGGAAAACCATCGTCATGTCTCAGATCTCATGGAATTAAACATCAGACGAAACGTCATCGGACAAAAAGGTATCAGACCGAACAATGTCAGATCAAACAGCCTTTTTTAGACAGATAATATATAATAATAATGTGAATTTGTGAATGTTATTGCTGTGTTATATTGTATCGATGATGTGTCTATTATTTAGCATGAGGCTGTCACTTCTAACTGGAAGCAAAGGTTTATCTCCAGGTATTTCTGCGATGCTGTCCGGGAGCAAAACGTTATGTATTTGTGTGATTCTGTGCATAATAGCTGACTCAACAACATGAAATAGAAAAACTTAATCCCTCTCAAAAAAGGACAAAGACTTACTCAGGCATTAGTGAAGTTATTTTGGCCATTTATTCTTTTTCTATTTACAGTTTGTGGGAATGTTGGGGTGTGGAATTTGCAAGGCTGCACTGTTTTATATGTATGACAATCCTGTACACATGTAAGTTAATGCTTTTAGAAAAACAAGGAAGGTGATTTTTGGTTCTGATTTTGCTCTACAGAAACTGTTGGAGTGCGCCCACTTTCCTTTGCTCCAAAAAGAACTGGTTATGGAGCAGACGATATGGAGCGCACACGACATTGGCCAGCAACGCAGTGTTCCAGGTCCTTTTGGTAAGTCAGATGTGCTGTTTATTTCACCACCACCTGGTATTTCTCATGTTTCTCACATGATAAATAGTTATAATACTCTAACAGAGTAACATTTTCCCTACAGGCTTTGCTGACATGCTTTGCCAAGTAGATGATGATGATGTCCTGCAGCAAGCGGAACAATTTGTGTGTGGGGTGGACGAACCATCTTTGGTGTTAAACGAGGCCTTCAGAAGCCTCCCAGACCCTTCTTCAGAATAAAAAGTTCCCATATCATCAGACGACTCTCTGGCTGCTTTCCTCATGCTACTGCAGAAATGTACTACTGCTCTTGAAATAAAGAACATTCCTAGACCCTCCACATTTACAGAAGCTAATGAAATGTACGATCTGCTGTCTGAGGACATCATATATATATATATATATATATATATATATATATATGTAGATATATATATATATAGATGTTTAAGCATCATAGTGATTTATTGAAAACCTGTTAGAAGAAACTTAATTGGACACATTTACATCAACAAATTAATTTCAAATTCCTTTGAAATAACTGCAGCACAAAATGCAGAGTTGATGTGGTTGTCAAGACGTATAGCGCCTTTTGTGAATGATCACATTCAAGTACTAAGAATTCACAAACAGAAAAATAAACTGTATAAATGTTTTATCACAAAACCTGTCACTAAGATGCCTGACAAGAAACTACCATTGACACTGGTTAAGTGTCTAATATTCAGATATGGCAACTCCACCACACACTAAAATGACTGGAAACTGCCACTGGTTATAATGCTGCATCTTGAATGCTGGCTTTTGAACTCTGTGCTGATAACGAGTCAGATGGTCCCTCTCCTCTCCTCTGGAACAGCACAGCTGTGATTTTTATAATATTCACAATTTAAAAAGAAAACAGATTATTTTAGCTGTCTGGTGATGAGTGCTAGGCTGTTGGGTTACAAGTGCTAACCTGCTTGGTTTCTCAACAACTTAGTACGAACAGCAAACATTAGCTGGCTCGGTACGTCAGTGATTGATCACACCACCTTACTGCCATCACTCCTACCGCATCCATGTCAGAGTAGTTTGAGGGGTGGAAGAACCGCAATATATTGTTCACTGTGTAAAAAGCTTTAACTGCAGTGTGATTCTCTCATACCAGATAAACAACATCCAGTTACATCTACAGTAACATCAATTCTCCGTGTTGTGCGAATGACAGCAATGCTTCAAGTTAGCCAGCATTGCTCTGTTCCTGGGAAGCTAGTGTTCTCCCACTCTCCAATGCCACACAGCTTCCTCAGTTTACTTTTTTAAATCAGTGCTGTAACTAATATCAACCCACTAATACATTAATGCACTAATACTAAAATACGACTATTTGAGAGCTGTAACACAGTGGTGTAGTTGTGTGGAGCAGCCGTGATTTAATGCTGCTAAAGCTTGTTAGGATGTTGGGATAGACGTGAGTTCACTGTAGGCCAGTACAGTTATGCCACTTATCTTGACACACTTGGTCACAGGAGCACAGACGATAGCAGACTACTGTCGCTTTTCTTGCAGTAGAAAATGCCACCAGAGCTGTCGCTAGAATGTGGAAGTGTGAGAATGGTGTATTATATTGAACGTTTATTTCTAATATTTCTATCAAGAAAAGTTATATCACGATTATTATTGTTATCGTTTCATCATCCAAGCTCATGTACATGAAATCCCTAAGTTCTTTGCTATTTTATGTTGAGAAACCTCATTCTTGAATTGTTGCACTAGTAACTGTACAGTCTTTCACAGAGTGGTGAACCCCTCCTCATCTTTACTTCTGGAAGAATTCACCTCTCTGGCTGATCTTTTTATACCCAGTTATGTTACTGTCCTGTAACTTAACCAAATTAGTTGTGTGATGTTCTACCAGGTGTTTTTTGAGCATTACACAACTTTATCAGTCTTTTGTTGCTCCTGTCTCAACTTGTTTGAAACGTGTCACTGACATCAAATTAAAAACAGACATATTTTTCCAAGAAACAGTAACATTTCTCAGAATTAACATTTGATATGCTTTATTTTCAGTTAAATATAGGGTTCAAATGATTTGATCATTGCATCGTTTTTATTTACATCTTGCACAGCATCCCAAATTTTTGGAAATGGGGTTGTACCTTCCTGATGTACCAAACCGCAAAAAGGGAATGTTTTTGCAGGTGGTTGCCACAATTACTCTCTCTTTATCCTTTCTGACCGATTCTTCTCTTGTTTTGCATTTTGTTAGTGTCCTTATCACTGGTAGCATGGGGCAGTACCTGCAGCCCATTCAGGTTGCACAGGCAGTCCAGTTCCTCTACGATGGCACATCCATACGTGCTGTCGCAAGAAGGTTTGCTGAGTTTCCCAGCACTGTCTCAAGGGCATGGAGGATATACCAGGACACAGGCTGTTACATGAGGAGAGTTGGACAGGGCTGTAGAAGGACATCAACCCAGCAGCAGGACCAGTATCTACTCCTCTGTGCAAGGAGAAACTGCCGGGCCCTATAAAATGACCTCCTGCATGCTACAGGTGTGCATGTTTTTGACCAAACTTTCAGAAACAGACTCCATAAAAGTGGTATGAGGGCCCAACATCCTTACAGCACAGCACTGTGCAGCTCGATTGGCATTCTCCACAGAACACCAGAATTGGCAGGTCCCGTTCTCTTCACTGAAGAGGGCACGTTCACACTAAGCATATGTGACATATGTCAAAGAATCTAGACACAACATGGTGAACATTATCCTTCCTGCAACATCTTCCAGCATGACCAGTTTGGTAGTGGGACAGTGATGGTCTGGGGAGGCATATCCTTGGAGGGTCACACAACCCACACAGGCCAATGGTACCCTGACTGCTTTTAGGTATCAGGATAAAATCCTCAGAGCCATTGCCAGGCCTTACGCTGGTGCAGTGGGCCCTGGGTCCTCCTGGTGCAGGACAATGCCCGGCCTCACGTGGCTAGAGTGTGTAGGCAGTTCCTGGACAACAGAGGCATAGATGCCATTAAATGGTCCTCCCGTTCCCCAGACCTGAATCCAACTGAGAACCTCTGGGACGCTACGTATGAGTGCATCCAACGCCACCAAGAGGCGCCACTGTCCCGGAGCTCACTTATACCTTAACACAAACCTTCATGTTTTGACAGTTCCAGAGTTTTCAGTTTCAGAAGAAGACAGTTTGTCAAATTGGTGGTTATTTATTCTATTCTACCCGCCCTAATATTTCTTTACTACTGCATACAGCTTATGAATATACTCAAGAGAATCTTAACTCTCATTAGGATAACCAATGGATTTTTTACCATACCAAGGGCAATCTCCGTATAACTGTAATTATTTTTGGATTTCAAACAAAATTTATAGAACTTTTGGATTTACAGACAAAAATTTTATTGACAGACACACAAGTATGATTATGCAGTGGATAGGTAATAAGACAAAAAATGCACAGAGGAAAAAAAAACAGTAAAAACAAAGATATATTAGCTTTCTATCCTTTAGATCTTTCCCTATCCATCCCTCCGTGATGAACAGGAGGATTAAAACCTTCACCTACATTCCACCAAGAGTTCATACACCCTAGTTTACATACTCATCAAACCCAAAGAAACAACACAGAGGGCCATTAAAAAATAAAACAAAGTTTTTGTGCTGTGTGACAGTAACCACTCACTCACATCAGCAGACTTCCCCAAAGCAGGAAGGAGTACGGAACTTTAACGTATGTTAATTTATAGAAAGTTTAGTCCAATTTATTTTGAATCATTTCTTTTGGTCCATTCATCATGAAATGTAAAAAGCAGCTGATGTTTTCAAATGGTGTAAAAAAACAAAATGCTTTCTACACACTCTCTCTGGGACTGCATGGGACTTGGTTGGCTGTATCTGAGCTCATGTCTATGCTGCTCCAGATTCCTCACCTTTCTTTTAGTTTAAAATCAGGATCAAACTGAATGACAAAGCCTCAGATAAAGCAGGACAGTTTAAACACAGTCAGATCACTCCTGTGTATAAAAAGGTAAAATGAACCATTTCTCTCCATCAGCAAAGAAGAACGTTTTACTGTAGACGCTGTGCAATTTGGCACCAAGCCAAAGTCCACTAAATAGAACATCCTACATCCAACTATTTTTAAATTGGAAAAAAGCTTTCTTAAAAGATATATCCTCTTAATTCATTTCAACAGATAGACACGTCGTAAAGATATCATATAGTATGATTCTAGAGCCTGTCATAATGTAGTGGCTTCTGAAACCCACTCTTGGTTGATTGTTCTCTGGTCCGTTCTTTTCGCTCTCTGTCTCCAGTGCAGGGATGAGTCCACACCAGAAACAATGGCTCTGGGGTTTAGCTGTCAGCCTGCAACATCTCTTCAATCTCACGGTCCCAGTCGTCATCACGGTTTTCTGCTTCTGCTACGACCTCGTACTCCTGCAGCTCTCGCTGCAGCTCCCTCTCCCACTCTGACGTTTCTTCTGATGGGGTGGAAAAACACAGAAGAGGAATGAGAGACAGAAGAAGATGGAGATACACACTACTGTTCAAAAGTCTGGAATCAACTGTAAGTGAAAATTACATTTGACTAAAAAATAAAATTAAAAGTAATAAAGTACTGAGGTTAGTTAAAGACAGTATTAAATAAGTTGAAATGGAAGATTATACTGCATGGCTACATCATTTCACACCTGCCTCAGACCATGTCTTGTTGAGCAAGTAATGTCAAATAGATTTGCTTATCTGGTTTCTGACACTATATGACATTTTGTTATCTATAAAAATAGACAAAAGTATATCACATAATAAAATAGTAAAAGTAACCATGTTGAACACTGAATTTTGTCTTTACTCTTGTCTGGCAACTAAATATGCCTTGGCTAATAGATTACATTTAGAATAAGAGGAAAATTGTGTTAACCAGACTTTTTGTTGAATTGTTTTGCTTTATGGCTCGTCTTAAAAGACTGTTAGTTGCTCTCAGATTTTCAGCTAATCATTTTTTCCTTCTTCTGTTTAAAAAAAAAAAAAACAAAAACAAAAAAACAAACCCTAACCCAGTGTAAAGCACTATTCGGACAGGATTAGTTTTACATGAGGAAGTAGCGTAATGACATTTTTACCAGTGTTTCTCAGTGATTTTAGTCCCATCTGAATGCACGTCACTATATTTTCCCCACTGCACTTTACTGTCAGTAAAGATTCTGCCCCCTTTTACCTCCTATAAAACAAATCGTTGAATAACCCCAAAAGGCATTAATCCCATGCTATCAAATGAACTGTAGAACAGCCCCAGAATATATCAATTCCATGCTATAAAAAGAATGGTAGAATAACCCTAGAGTA